GAGAGAGAGAGAGAGAGAGAGAGGAGCGCAAGAAGGAAATCAAAGCACTCTGCAGGACCAGGGCAAGGTACCATTGTTTCGGAGCGCCGCGGAACAGTGACTCTATTTTTTAAAAAACGGGAATAATTTAATCAGGGGAACCGTGACTCTATTTAAAACAACGGGAACAATTTAATCCAGGGAACAGTGGCTCCATTTTAAAGAATGGGAAAAAATTTAATCCGGGGAACAGCGACTGTGCTGAACGAATACAGCATCTTGGTGGTATTGATCATGGTATCGATGCAGTCAGCCGACGATAACAACTTTGTTTATAAACTTATTGAATACTGCGTTCCATCATAAAAACAAAATCAAATTCGGAATTAGCCTTTCCAAATTAAAAACAAAATAACTCGCGTGTGACTCTTTTCCCAGTTGGTTTTAGAAGATTGCCCCAAAATTACCTTTTACCACGATAGCATCACCTAGTACTTTCTTATTACAAAGAGGACGAAAAAAATTCCCTTTGTTTGAAGTTTGCCGCCGTGTGGAATTAAACTGTATGTGCAGAACTTTTAAAATAATTACAGCCGCTAAGAATTTATTTCATTTTCGGAATCAGCGTATTAAAATAAGCAAATTGACTTGTGTAAACCTGATTTGATACCATGTTTAAACTTTAAGCAAACTTTATTTTTCATTGTCAATTTTGAATCTGAACTCATGTATCAGGGACACCCTGTGCGTTGTGCATCTGACGCGACAGCTGCTAGAAACAGAATGGCGACTTAGCTGAAAGCTGATTCTGTTTACTGAAATATAGGGGCTTACAGACCCATGAATGCCTGTGGACAGTGTGAGTAAACATTTCGCTAAGTCAGTCTTTTGTCCAATAAATGACCCCAATTTTTTTACTTAGAAATCAAGTCAAAATGTAACAAATCTGGTCTAGCTGTACTCAATACTGTAGGCGATTACACCAAGATAAATTGTAACAAAGAAATACAGGAAATTACTGGTCGCTGCTCCCCCGTTGTTGTTCCCCGGTAAAATGAGGTCAGCAGTCGCTGTACCCCAGTGCAGCCCACTGATTATATAACAGCACAAAAACAGAAACAAGACAGACTATCAACGTCCCTGACAAAACAAACATCTCACACGCTGACAGATCATCAAGGACACATAGCCGTGGGAAATAATCAGGGATGTTATGTTTCATCAATATCCAGCTAGCAGAAGTTGCTTGTTGTGTAAACATCTATACTATTTGTCTGCCCACGTCGCCATTTCTCTTTGCATACCCCACCCCCTCTCTCTCCAGTGGCGGTGGGTGGACCAAAATTTGGGTGGGGCTTGTGTTGCTTCCAGTTCTTTACCATTTACCACCAAATAGCAAGCAATAAAAATTAAAAAGTGATGGTTTTCCTACAGATCTACTCAAGGTCAGCCACGGCAGTTTGAGAAGAGTTTCCTTTGTTTTCCATCTCTTTTTTTCTTAATTAAATTCTTGTAGATGGTGGGGACGAAGCCGATACACCTCCAAATTTCCTCGAATTAGTTTTCATGTGATGAAAAATTGCCTTGAAAGTAGTTCGCCCTGATCTATAACTGTTAAATCTCAGCGGTACAAACACAAACATGCACACACAGGACTTCAAACATAATACTTCTAT